CCCCCTGCGAGGCATATTGATGACGCAGACCTATCCTGCGAGGATTGTTGTTGACGCAGACCTATCCTGCGAAGCACTTTTTTACACTCGCGGGGCTCGTGGCAGCGAGGGAGCGCAAGTCTTACACCACTGGGCTCGTGGCAGCGACAGCCGTGGTCACGGAGACTCTCAAGCCCGCAGGCAAGGGAGGGACACCATAACATAACGGAGTGTGAGGACCGAAGTCCTGATTTTTTTTTGGGCTGGGAATCCGGCTCCCTTTATATTTTTTCGGCTACGTCTCTACCAAGGAACCAGTTGCGCAGATGGTAGCGAGAATCACTGTCTCGTTAATAAGCGTTGAAGCGATTTGAACGACGTTGAAGGGGTGTTTGGAGACTTTGTGGCCTACAGAGTCAAGCCTCGACCTGGTATTCCTCTCAAAATTGTGCGTTGGGTCTGGTGAACCACTTTCATCGACTGTTGAGGAGAAAGTAATGCCGCGAAAGTAAGATTCGTACCCATCACCGAATTTGCAATTAAATCGCTCAACGCGCTTGCATTCTACATCTCCCCGTTTTAACCAGGTCACTGTCTCTTTCATGAGGTTTGAAGTGCTTCGACAGATGCCGAAATAATGGGCTGGAGATGGCCGACGGAAACGCTGTGCTGTACCTGCAGTTGGCCGGAGGACCCTTTGGTCTCACTGGTATCAATCCTGTCCATCTCTAGGCTCGCGCCGCTGAATGTTATTTCTTTCCTTTCTACTCGCAGCCAACTTATGGTGCCTTTACTAGGATCGCTACTACCTGGGCGCACAGACAATGGCATACTTTCAGACTCAGGATAAACATTGTCTTTGGGAGGACCTGATAGCCAAAAAAGGTCCAGACCCTTTGCAAAGCTCACAAGAAACTGGGTCTAGTTTCCAGGACAACCATGTGAACTGATGCAACCAAGGCCCACGAGCTAGGCTCTCGTGATCGCCACCTCCTCGCAAGATTGCAACGCTACTATCACACTGATGAGAACCTGGACACAAATAGGACCGGGCAGGCCAATCAAACGCCACGCGTGAATGTAGACAGACGCAGGTACGGTTCTGCGATGCAGATCTCTGCGACGACCCGCGGGACAGTAGATTCAGGGAGGTTCTATTTGTCGCCCGCAGAGAAACTGGAACGAATTGCAAAGGCCCAGCCACGATCCACAAGCCCAAAGCTTTCGGCCGTCAGTGTCCGATGGTACGGGGGATTATTGCCTAGGAGGTACTGCTGGGGCAGGTGAGTATTTGGAAGAACACACAGACTTTGGCGACAGAATGGTAGGCTACAACCCGACCCGTGGTTGTGTTCTGTTGTGTTCTCTTGGTCGCAGTCATTAGAAAGTAAGTATCCCTGTCAAGTGGGAAGCAGAACTTTGCCTATCTGGTCAGTAGAACGTTCTAGAAGCTACGTATCTTCTCCTGCACCAAGCTTTCCCCTGATGATTATACTATACTCTCTTCGAGCCAGACAATTCCTCTCCATATGCTCAATTCTATCGCCAGTCTGGTAACTCTAGCAGATGGCTTGTAGAAATAATGCCAGTGGATCACATGAGCTTACGTAATATCTCCGGTTTTTGAACTAAACCCGGAAAACCGATTGGCTGGCTCCATGGAGTGGGCTCTGTGGGCCGGCCCACCTGCGGTACCTAACCTGTATTCCAAGCACCCTGCCCATCTCGAGAATGACGCTGAATGCAGTATCTTCTAATAAAAAATTGTCCTTTCCCAATACATGAGCAGCATGAGAATTTGTTGGTCCTGCTCTGGATCTCTTTTTTTTTGGGCTAGCAATCTACAAAGCAAGTGTAGCAGAGGCTGTTTAGATAAGCTTTCCATGAGGATCATTCGTGACAGCCGCATCCTCCCGCATCCTCTCACCGAGGGAGCATTTCCATGGCTTATCGAACTTTATTTTCCGGGGTTCGGCGATCGATCGACGATCCCGGCCATGTTCTACGATCTCTGGGGAACTAACTTTTGTCAAACTATAACCTTGGTACTCCTTCGCTATTGTCGTAATTCCACGAGATAATGATACTATTTTGCCCAGCGGGTATGATTATGTCTCAAATCCAAACAGAAGCAACGCACTCCTTGTGTTACATAGACCCTAGTTAAATAGGCGATAAACGAATGCAAACGAATGCAAATAAATTGACAATACCGATGGGTCATATAAGTAAGAACTGATTATAACAACAGGTCGCAAATTGAGTGTAG